CATGAGGGAGGGGGCAGCAGGGAGGGAGGGGAAAAATGAGGACCTAATGTCGGGAGTTTAAGTGGAGAGAAAATGTTTTGAGAATGAAGTACAAATGCGCTTTACACAATTGATGTGTGTATGGATTGTGATAAGAGTTGTATGAGCCCCTAATAAAATGTTTAAAATATATATATATTTGTTTGTTAAATTTGAGACAACTATCATGTTTTTAAATATTTGAGCAAAGTTTAAAGAAATCCCTAAAGGAGAAATATGTAGAATTCTAAGTATCATTGAAAATAACCCTAATATTAATTTATAAAAAGAAATGTAACTATTTATATGAATGTTTACATTGTCTCTCTTATAATTAGCTACACATCTCATTAAAACAAGAACACATTGTGCCAATTATCTTATTAATTATTCCCTAGTTGTCCCTTTCAAATGGGATTGTTTGGAGTCTTGTATTTATGAGTTCCTTACTGCCATGAGAATTTATATAAAAACCTTGAATCTATACATTTAGATACTTAGAAAACAGTTCTTGGTAAGTAGCTTCTGTGGCTATTAAACATGTTTTAATTTTATGGCACTTGGCTTTTGTGTATACAAGGGAAAAAAACATTGATTCTTTCATTTGTCATTCTTATGTAGTAAATAAGAGGAAGTAAATTTAGTAAGAAAACCAATTATTGATTAACACCCAAGCCAGTGCGAAAGTATCTTTCTTAGTCAGAAACCCACAGGTAATACACTCTCCATCAACCTTTCTTATAGTTTCTTCATTAATCTAAAATATCATTTGTTTAAATAAACTTAAAAAATTTTTATGACAGATAAGATACCTGTATTGTGGCTGATTATCTGATAGTTTGAATTAATTTACATTTTATTTTCTATCCTAAGATCATGTTCTCATATCTTTGGGCGAAAACAAATTAGTGAATCATAGCATTTTGACTGAATTATTGAAAGCCCAAATCCTAGAACCAAAGTCTTCTCTTAGCTCTATCTTTATACATAATTTGCATGCCCATCTTTCAAGATTAGCTTCAATGTTCCTGTACTTCAAGATTCCTTAATTTCTTTCTACTCCCCCAAATATTCTGAGACCACAGAAACAGAAAGATAATTCTCAGCACAGGCACTATGAATCATATAAACATAAAAAAGTAATATCAGCTAACTATTGTTCAGTGAGGTGCTCATACATAATGATTTCATTCCTTTTGAAGTCAACTCACAATGTTTTTAAAAATCAGCTTTTCTTAATTCATCAACTAATATTCATTAAGTGGTCACTTGAAACCATGTATTGTGATACAAATATTTATGTTTGTATACAAAATATACAAATACATATATATATAT